GCCATACTCTGTAAAATAATTTAAAGAGGTTTATTCTGAGCCAAATTTGAAGAACACAACCTGGAGCCACACTCAAGCCTTGAGCAAGTAAAGTGTCAGAGGTGGGGTAACAATTTGGTTTTATACATTTTACGGACACAGGAATTACAGGTAAAGTCATAAATCAATACATAGAAGGTGTACGTTGGCTTGGCCCAAAAAAGTGGGACATCTCAAAGTGGAGTCTTTGGCTGACAATTGGCTGAAACAGGCTTTGTCTAATACACCAGGAGATAGTGAAAAGGAATGCTGAGTTAAGATAAGGGTCTGTTAATTAGAGACAAACTACAGGAAATATGTGGTTTGTTGTATATACTGAGGACCTTCAGGTATGTCTTCCATAGCCTTAGGCCTATTAGAGTCAAAGAGGTCATTCTAAGAAGAGGAGGGGGCATGATGAGGCATGCATGTCTGATCTCCTCTCTGCCAGTGCTCAGTTTTAGGGATCCCCTTGGTCAAGAGGGGCTCCAATCAGTCGCTGGATGAGGTAGCCTTAAGATTTTATTTTAGGGCTCAGCGCCTATAGCTCAACCGGCTAAGGCGCCAGCCACGTACACCTAAGGTGGCGGGTTCGAATCCCCAGCCTGGACCCGCCAAACAACAATGATGGCTGCAACCAAAAAATAGCCGGGCGTTGTGGCGGGCGCCTGTGGTCCCAGCTACTTGGGAGGCGGAGGCAGGAGACTCGCTTGAGCCCAGGAGTTGGAGGTTGCTGTGAGCTGTAATGCCATGGCACTCTACCCAGGGGGACGGCTTGAGGCTCTGTCTCAAAAAAAAAAAGATTTTATTTTAGTTCACACTGTTAGGTTGGCCAAACTAACTCCATCTTGAAAAGGCTTTCTATAAGACTCTGTTACAGGTGGACATAACGCAGATAAGAGAGAGAGATGCTGCAGGCTTGTATTTGCATGTACAAGCAACTGGCCCAATTACAACCCACCCAAGAGAAATCTGCTGACACCCTAATAAGAACCTGCCAGGAGAGTCCCTATGGTGAGATAACATCTTTGATGTCCTGATGAGAATAATAGTTTGGTGGTCCTTGACAGAAACCAGCTCCCCCTCAATCACTGATAAAAGACTGGCCTCTCTTGCTACACCCCCCCATAACATCTTCAGATCTTAGCCCACTTATACCCAAGTGTCAAAATAAACATTATCACCTTTTTTACACTTTGGTCTTGAGTGTTCTGACCCGTTCCTTCTGATACAGGATTCCACCACTTAGGGGAAGACAGGGAGCCCCCCATTCTCTAGGCCAGGCATCCTCAAATATAGCCCGCAGGCCACATGCGGCCCACCTAGGACATTTATCCAGCCCACCAGGTGTTTTTGCCACATCTGCCTGTCCTGCTTAATAGTCAACTTGTCCTGGGGCCCACAGTCCGGCCCTCCAACGGTCTGAGGGACAGTGAACTGGTCCCCTGTTTAAAAGGTTTGAGGAACCCTGCTAGGCCCAGATGAGCTCAGCAGTCAGACCCTTACTTCCAGACACAAGCAGACTGCCTTTTTTGGGACACACCTTCTGGGCTCTCATAAGATCATGAACAAAGCATCCTGTGATGGTTTTTTGGGTAGTTCCACCTTGGGTAGGAGCACACATCATAATCCCTTCTCAGAGACAAGGACTGTGAAGGACCAACTGCCAGCCATGTGTAATCCTCTAGACTTAAGACCCCTAGACAAAAGAGCCCAGGTGGAGAGTCCCAAGGGAGTTCTTCAGTTCTTTCCCCCTTCCAGAAGCTCTGGTGCTTTTTACTTCTTCTGTATTACTTTCTAACGTCTAATAAAAGTCCTATCTCGTCACTGATCTGTGGTCCGTGGGTTCATTCTTCAAATCCCCGAGACCAAGGACCTACTGAAGAGCAAAATTCTGGTATCACTTTCTTTAGTTTTTATCTATCACACACTACCTATGTGCTTTGTTTTGCCTGTATCATTTTTTTAATTGGGCCAATATTTTTTGTTTTAATTTTTCTAACTTTTAGAGATAAAGCCTTGCTGTGTCACCCAGGCTGGAGTGCAGGGGTGCTATCATAGCTCACTGCAGCCTTGAATTCCTGGGATCAAGTGATCCTCCCCCTTCAGCCTCCTGAGTAGCTGTAACTATAGACATGCACCACCATATCTGGCTAATTGTTTAATTTTTGTAGAGATAAGGGTCTTGTTATATCACCTAGACTGGTCTTGAACACCTGACCTCAAGTGATCCTCTTGCTTCAGCTTCCCAAATTACTGAGATTACAGGTGTGAGCCATCATGCCCAGCTGAGCCAGTTTTCAAAATTCGCAGATTACATATGATAATCTTCATTCCTAGCTCTTTGAAAAAATTGGAATAGCAGGCCTATATGATAGCCATTGCCCAGAAGTGATTATTGGTTCTATCTAGAGATAGGGCATGTGATCTGTTGAGAGATGGTCTTGTCCATTTACATTGTTTACCTGAATTCTTGTAATCATTTGGGATAAATAACTCCCACATTAGGTTATTCCAGAAAGCACACTGGGGAAAAGGGCTGAGATCCATCTTTTACTTACTCAAGGTCCATAGTTTGAGAGTTAACATAACTAGATAACCTTGTAGTTTGGGGTGACCTTTCTAAATTAACATTTAGGAGTAGGAAGCAAAAATTTCTAAGTTTTTTTTTTTTTTT